TGAATGAGGCGTCACGTGAACATGCACATGAACATGTTCCCATAATTGGAGGACTTGACCCGACTGGACCCGACCCGTTTCTGTTTCTCTATGGTTTGAGGTGGAACATCGATTTTTCAATTCGATCTTCCTACCCGTTGGTGTGCCTTAATTGCGCTTCGGCCTTGTTAATATGTGCAAATTCACTTCGGGTTTAATCTAGTGTTAGTGAATTTGGTCCGGTGGACTTCTCACATGTGATCTTTGTGCCCGATGCAGCGGGTGTTTTTTTATAAAAGGAAAATGTTTAAAAAAAATTCCCTTAGTGAACTTGTTAAGCGTCATTAAATATTTTTGGCAAATATGCAATTATTTATTAACACTAATTAGCCTTCTTGAACTGTGTATTTCTTTCAATTTTTAGAACATGTTGAAATATGTTATGTCCTTCCTTTGTTCCTTTTTTTGGTTAGCTTCATCAGTACCTCAATGACACCTATTGACATTATGCGAATAATTGCAATATTTAGTTAACGCTTTGTCATTTCCCTCCGGAAAAGTTTGAAAAGGTTTTGGTAAAGGTAAGCATGGTCCGGATTGGGCTGGTCCAGCACCTAATCCAATGACCAACTAGCACAATATTAGTCCCCATTTTTTGGGATCGTGGACCGACCCTATTGAGCCTAGGACTGACGACCAGACTGACCTTGTGGGTTCGGTTTGGTTTCAAGGTCAACCCAGGACCAACTAATTATTCTTTTGTTTCATTTTTTGTTTTCCTTAAATGGACAAACATACTCTTTGAAATTACATATATTAAACTACCAAATTGTGAACATCGTTACAAATTAAACAAAAATCTAAGATAAGGCAATCACAGAAATTTTCATTTGCTAAAAGCAACAAACCATAGAAGACAAACACGCGAAATAAAATTAAAAAATAAAAAGTTCAAAATACGAACATAAACCATGAATTATGCACTTCTTATATTGTTCATTCTTAAAAGATTGTTTCAAATTTTGAACACCCAAAAATAAAATAAACAACAAATATAGTTAAAACTTAAATATTTAAGTGCTAGCATGTAATTAATAATTGCGAAATCGGTATATCATCATCATCAAGGTCTGCAAAATAGAACCTCACTTTCCAGTACAAAAATCCAAACAACATTTATCACTTAGGACAACTAAGAAATGTGCAACAACCGAAACTACATTTATCTAGTCAAATGAATGACTAACGGAGTAAAGTCAAGATATGATTTAACAAGTGCAAATATTAAAGGAAAGAAATTCACTATCTGCTTTAAGGAAAGCACACAAGCGGCATATCATCAGATGACTATTCGAGGTTCAAAAAACATAAATAGCAGCATTTCTCACGAGCATTATCATCAAATGGACTTTACTTCGTAGATTAGGAAACATTATCATCACCAAGAAAGAGATTTTTCTAACGAGCTTAAAGCTATCATATCAATCACAAACGAGGAAGCGAAAGGGGAAAAATACATACCCAGCACATAGCGGGAAATTGCATGAGCTTGAAGCTCTCTAATAAAGCACAAACCAGGAAGCAAAAGTGGAAAAATAAATTCCCAGCACAAATGGAGAACTCGCACGAGCTTGAAGCTCTCAAATCATGCACAAACCGAGAATTCACCAGTTGAGCTGCGTTCACGGGGTGAGGGAAAAGAGGTGAGCAAGCTACGTTCGTGAGGTGGGCCAAGAGAGGCGAGCGATGTTACCAGCTGAGCTGCGTTCATGAGGCGCACGAAGAGATGCCACATGGTTTTTATTTTAAACAGCCGAAATATTCTACTATTTTCATCATTTATTATTGGCATCCATCCCATTGAAGGGCAATCTCGTCCTTAACGAAACCCCCAGTAAACTTCTCCATTATCTTTATTCTTACCCCAAGCCCTATGAAAGAAGAGCACAAAGATGACATCCGTAATGGAGAACTCACGCCGTTAAATCTTTGCAATTCTTCCATACAGAGTCATCACCTTCGTCACCACTATAAATCAACATCCTAGAAGAGGAGGGGCCTAGGACTTGGACTATATATACACACATGTCCAGGTTGGACCAACCCTAAAGCCCCAGGACTGAGGACCAACCCGCATAGTATCGGTTCTAAGGATTGGGCCAGGTTGGGCCGGTTTAGGAATGATGCTCACCCCGAGGTTTTGGGCTCACTTGAGACCACTCGGTGCTGCTACGATCAATAAGCTGCTTGGTGTACTCTTCTCGTTCAAGTTGTCGAGAAATGATTCTGACGGATTCATCCTTTTAAGTCGAGTGTCTTCTAACCATCGATCCACAATGTTCGGGCACCCACGTTTGTAGCGGAGTTTGGACCAGTGCATGCCATTGCCATTAATATAATTCATCTACCCGCATGCCATTGCCATTAATATAATTCATCCACCCGCATGCCATTCGGACCCCATGAAAAGAAAAAAAATACAACAAGAAGGAAGGCAAGATCTCTATAAGAAGCAGAAATGAGCCATCCTTCCGCATAACACCAGGCCTTATACTATTACTGTAATATATGGGTTTTGACCCAGTCAAAACAAAAAAAAATAATCAAAAAGTCAGAAAGTCAAAAGTTGCTACAGTGATGCTTTGTTTTCCTCATTTAAGCCGAGAGCTTGCTCGGCCGAGACAGAGAGAAAGGAAAAGAAAGAAAGAGGAAAAGAGAAAGAAGAAGAAGAAGAAGAAAGAAGAGAGAGAGGGTTTGGTGTCACGGGATCTCGCCAAGCCGATTCGACTTCGTAACGCAACGCCCGGTAAGTGCTCGCGTCTCTCGTTCATTCAATCGGAGTATTTTCCGGGTTAGGGCTCATATTTCGGAGTTATGTGATATTTGAACGGCGAAGTCCGATTTTTGAGTCGTTGAGCTATGAATATATATAGAATTGATAGTTTAGGGTGTTGCGGAGCCGTGGGATTTTACGGAACTCGATTTGGACTTACGGTTTGCCGGATATGAATTTTTGAAGTTGGCCGCGCAAGGTGAACAGTGCGCGACCAGCGGCTTTTAGGCCGATTTTCGTCGGTTTTCGGCTCGATTTTGGGACGGCCACGTTAGGGTTTTTGTAGTGCTCTAAATGGGCTTTCTATTGACTATAAGCTCGCTTGAAACGGGGTTCGGTGGAAGAATTTATGATGCGATCAAACTTCGCGCTCAAGCTCCGCGTTGCGGAAGGTTTTGGATAATCGCTTCGGACAAGCGATTTGTGGGTGCCTTTGAGTTGTCTTGTTAGCGTTTAAGTGCCGTTTAGCCATTTCGTAGTTATCATAGTATTTACTTGATTTTGACATCGATTCTTGTTTAATTATTAGGATTACAAGATCGTCGGTTCGAGTGAGCGTCGTTGTTTGATTTTTGGGGATTCCAGGTGAGTGGTGATATCTCTTCTTTGAGTTTATAAACTCATATTTTGAAAGTGATAAGAATTTGAGTAATCGTACGAGTTGTGAAAGAACATATTTGTTGCATAAAAGTATGGATCGGGCATTTACTACTTTTTAGTATTTGAGAATGATTTGGGAATCGTTTTGGAATTGTATTGTGAAAGGATATATATGTGTATTGCATTACGAACTAGTTTATGAATGAGTTCGGAAATGATTTAAGAAATGCTTTACGAAATGTATTTCCGACAGATGAGCCGTGTTGCGAGAAAGTTATTTATTTGGTTTGTGAAATGTATTCGGGATTGGATTTCTGATATTGGATGATGATTGTTTGATACTCAATATCGCTGTGAGCCCATTGAGGGGCTTTGGGGGTATGCATACCGGATTAGGATATCCTTCTGGGCCGAGCCACCGGCTTTGTAGGTGGAGACCTTGCCAAGGGGGAAATCTTGGTAGCCTTGTCACAAGGCTTTGTGTCGTGACCATGGTTAGATATTGAGCAATAGATTGATCGATGGAATGGACCATCGACGTTTGATGTGATATGAGATTCATCAATGGAATAGACCATTGATGTGTGATTTGAGATTAGTCAACGGAATGGACCATTGACGTGGTTTTTAATAGAGATTGATCAATGGACTTGACCATTGATGTTTATGATGATTTAAATGAGTATTTTATGAATTGTATAAAACTTGTTGAAATGAAACTACTCTTATGTGACTCGATATGTATTTTATATCTTGAGTTTGGCTATTGAAATTCTGGTATGACTTTATGTTTTCATGCATAGTGGTTGCTCGATCTGCTTAGAAGAGATATGCACTGCTTACTGAGCTGTGGTTGCTCACCCCTCTCTTTCCCCAATCTTTTCAGGTTTTTTGGTTAGTAGCAAATAGAGCGAGAGCGATGTCGTGGGGAATTTTAGGTGGTTTGAGGCTGCGTCCTTGGGTTGGAAGGACGGCCGTGTCATCCCCCATCTTGGTAGGTTTCGGGGTGTGACAATTACATAGCTTGCTTGCTTTGCTAGCCAGCTAGCTTTCCATGGCCGAAAGTCACCTTCTTCGTGAACTTGAAATCCTCCAACGTGGTGTCGCATCTGATGTTCAGTGGTGGACTGATGCTGCTCGAATCCATTGGAAAGGCTTTTGGCTCCGGCCGGAGTTTGTTAAAGCTTCTGTGGCCATAGGAAAAGAGTTCCGACCTCTTGCATCGGATGTAATCCTAGCTTCCTTCCCAAAAACCGGCACAACATGGCTCAAAGCTCTAACTATCGCTATCCTAGGTGAGAAATTCCTATCCGAAGATGCCGATCCGTTGTTGTTTCACAACCCTCATGAGCTCGTCCCTTTTCTTGAAGTAGAAACCTTCGGAGAGAATCCAAATCCGTCTCGGAATTACTTTCACGATCTTTGTCCTTCCTCACCGAGAGTCTTTAGCACTCATCTTCCTTGTTCAATCTTGCCCGATCAAATCAACAGCTCGGGCTGTCGAACGATATACATCTGTCGCCATCCCGCCGACACTTTTGTCTCGCTTTGGCACCACCATGAGAAGAGATTCGGAAGGACAACCACCATGGAAACGGCCCTTGATGAGTTCTGTGAAGGAAGGGTCCCTTCTGGTCCATACTTTGATCATGTGCTGGAGTATTGGAACGAGAGGGGGAGAAGCAATAATCTCTTGTTCCTGACATACGAGGAGCTTAAGAGAGATCCTCACGGGCATGTGAAAAAAGTGGCCGAGTTCTTGAATTGCCCACTAAGCTGCGACGAGGCTGAGCGAGTCGTAGAAAAGTGTAGCTTTGAGCGGCTGAGTAAGATGCAGGTTAATAGAAATGATAATGGAAGAGTTCATTGGAGTGGCACAAAGTTCGGATCGTTCTTTCGTAGAGGAGAAATTGGAGATTGGAAGAACCATCTGACTCCGGAAATGGCGGAACGGCTTCATAAGATTGCAAGCGAGAAATGGGTTGGATCTGGTTTAGAGTCGAGGTTACTTGCTGAATAACCCGTGTTAGAATAATTAAATATTAAAGTATGTAATCATCAAATAAATTAAGTTTTTAGAAAAATTTACAGTAGTCCCACAATATGTCACAATTCGAATTGATGTCCAACGATCAACTTGATGATGGGGAAATAAAGAAAATCATGTTCTCTTTTCCTTGTATCAACTATTATACGTGTATGCATTTACATCATAAAATTTGCCTACGTCTCTTCTCTTGATGTTAGTTCATCCGCATCGTTGCCACTGAAAAAGACTGCAGCAGACCATAGCATGTGCTAGTAGGGATATGGATGGAGACAGATGACGACGCGGACGCAAATAGCTAAATATCAAGATCTTTCCACGTTGGACGAGAAACAATCCAAAAGGCCTTTAGGCTCCATTCGTTTAGTAAAAAATATTACATTTCTAAGAAATATTTTTTACGAAATCACTTTCCTGAAAAATGACATAATTTTTAGGAAATTACTTTCCTGAAAAATGATATAATTTTTCGACGTTCGGCTGAAATCTGAAAAAGTTTCAGAAAAATTTTCTGTTGTTAGGCTTGCACTACTTTTAATAATTTTTTTATTTTTTAAAAATATTTTTAATCTTTTTGTTCTTTTTCTTTTTCTTTTTTTTCCTTCTTCTTCTTCCTTAGCCGGTCTCCGGCCACGGCGGCGGACGGCAACCGGCCAGGTCGAGCCTCACCGACCTGTGGCGAGGCTCTGACCTGCTTGATCCGGCGCGACAGAGCTCGCCCAAGGCCGCTTGGGCGAGCTCGGGCCTCACCAGATCCGGCGAGCTGGGCGAGGCTCGAGCCTCACCTAAGGTCGCCAGACGCTAGTGAGGCTTTGGTGACCTCGGGAGAGGCTCGAGCCTTGCTCGACCGGCCTTGGGTGAGCTCAGTCGCGCTGGATCTGGCAAGGCCCGAGCTTGCCCTACCAGCCTTGGGCAAGCTCGGCCGTGCCGGATCAGGCGATTCGGAGCCTCGCCATAGGCTGGCGAGGCTCGACCGGTTGAGGAAGAAGCAGAAGAAGAAAAGAAAAAGAAAAAAATGAATGGTGAAAAAAGGAGGGGGAAAATGTTTTTCTCTTATAAAAAACGAGGAAGTCATTTTCCTCAAAAGTGAAGGTGTTTTGTTCATAGGGGGACAATATTTTCCGTGGGAAGTTATTTTCCGTGAAACGAGTACCGAAAAATCCAGAAAAATATTTTTCGGAAGTTATTTTTCAGTGAAACTATCGGAGCCTTAACGTGGACCTCAGATCTCGAGGGAACAACTTAGCAGTAATTTCAGCAAAAGCACGCAACCGATATCTTGGGATTCTCCAATATATAAAACGGTCAAACGAAAGAAAAACCTCCGCTATCCTTGCTTTGCCCTGGTCAAGAACGGCTCCGTAAGGACACACCCACAAAACAAATTCGTCCTCTGCTACTACCTTCATTGGTTTTGCTCTCCACACAATGTCTGCTTCCGTTTCTGCTCCTGTCTCATCTTCCGGAAACCTCAAAATAGGAATCGTTGGCTTCGGCACGTTCGCGCAGTTCCTGGCGAAGGCCATGATCAAACAAGGCCACTCCCTAAGAGCGACTTCGAGGACTGATTATTCTCAGCTATGTGCTGATTTGGGCATCGCATTTTTCAGGTATTTATGCTCTTGTTTGATATCGATTTTGGGGATACACACACATTATTAGCGAATACATGCGCACGCGAGTTTTCAGTTTTCTGCAGATGTGCAAATGCTTAGTGAATTGGGTGACCTATTGCAGTGATGTGGCTGCATTTCTTGGAGCAGATAATGATGTGATAATGATATGCACATCGATCTTATCTTTCTCCCAAGTTCTGAAGTCGATGCCGTTCCATTCACTGAAGCAGCCAGCACTATTCGTTGATGTACTGTCGGTCAAGGAGCATGCAAGAGACACCCTCTTACGAGTATAAGAGCTACCCTACACATTGGACATGCCTACTTATACATGACAAATTCCTGTGTAAAAACACCAAATACCTGTATATATCACTGTACTCAATTATAAGACTGCAATCTGTAGGTACTTCCAGAAGATTCAGATGTGCTGTGCACTCACCCGATGTTTGGGCCAGAGAGTGGTAAACATGGGTGGAGAGATCTTAACTTCATGTATGACAAAGTTCGAGTGAGGGAGGAGAATACATGCTCAAGCTTCCTCAAGATTTTCGAAATCGAGGTACCCTCTAAAGGCATATCCTCAGCTAGCCTCGTACTTCAGCACGAATAAGAAGATTTCAAACATTTCATCATTACCTTCACAATCTAACTATGAAATACACTTGCAGTGAGATAGATCAATAGAGAACTAAGTTTATGCTCTGCTCTGTGTCCTTCATTCTGCCCAACCAGCATATTCGAGGTCAAAAGCCAAGATTGCTAACCGAACCTTCAATTTTTCTTAATTTTATTTTCTGCTTTTCAAGTAGAACAGATAAGACAAGGTTACTCGCCACAAGTTAAGAAGAACAATTAGTATTGACTAAATTCACTGGTCTGCATAAACGAACTATGTAATCTTTGAAGACCTCATAGTCCATTTAAAATAGTCCTAGATAGATATTTAGTGAAAGGGTCATCAATGTCTAGAACCTGATACAAATTGGTCATAGAGTCATTTATGCAGATCCCCAGCCAGCCTTTCTCTGGGTGAACTGACAATCTATTCAAATCGAAAGTAAGTGGTGTTCTTGATAGTTGATACAAACTAAGCAACGTAATATACTCCATCTCATGCTCAACCCTTGCCAATTGCCATCTAACGATATTTCGGCAGACCAACATGAGGCATATCTTCCAATTACAAAATGAATATCTATTCTTTGTGAATGTGTCAGGGATGTAGGATGCTTGAAATGTCTTGCACAAAGCATGATGAGCTGGCAGCGAAGAGTCAATTCATCACCCACACAATTGGCAGGTATTTTCAATTCCCAACAAACTAATCATCTTACAATTTATTCCCAACTCCTAACTAACTGATGATCTTACAAGAAGCACTGATGTTTTCGTACACGGTTAGAATCTTGTCGGAAATGGACATCGAATCGACACCGATAGATACAAAGGGTTTCGAAGCTCTTGTTCAACTGGTAACGTCAACTAGCAAATTCTCCATTTTCATAGTATTGTAGTCGTCTCTGTTTCTTTGTGTCTTTTCGAATGGACCTATCATAAATGTATCATGCGTAAGGAAGTAAAAGATATCCAAAATGAGAGCAGCAGTGCGTGAAAAGTGAAGTTTGGATTTTTGTAATTCCAAGTCTCCTTTTTCCTCTATCAGCTCCGGCAACAAAAAAACCATTGTCTTTTGATACGACATGCTGACAGTTTTCATAACCGCAGAGGAAGAACACAGAGAGCGATAGTTTTGATCTGTTCAGTGGGTTGTACGTCCAAAACAGATTTGCGAAGCAAGAGGTATGGAGCTGATGCATTTCACTCGGAAATGATACATATCAAGTTTCAGTCTGATCCTACGTTTTCGAAGCAGGAATTTACATTTTACCTCGGATCATTAATGAAATTTGTTTTCGTAACGCAGCTAAAGAACCTAGAGCTTGCCTTTGAGAAGTTGAAACACAAGCTGCCGAAGAGGAATGTTGAGGAACAGGAAGCAAACCAGTAGTGCTAGTATGATGAGGAACAGCTGCTAATAAATTTCTTTTTCACAACAAATTTACTGCTTATGGGAACAGTTTCTTAGCCGTAGAAACTGCAAACAAAGTGCCAGTCGATTCACTCCAGAGAGGTATTATACTGAGAGACATATTGTCAGATTTCTATTTCTGGAGAAATACAAGTTCTACACTGTTTTCAGTACCGTACATTCTAGGCCCGGTGTCAAAACCGTGTTATGTTTACAGGTGCAGTCTTGCATTATCCTCATATGAACTCGTGAATATTTGAAAGAATAAGACTTGGCAATTTACAGTTGGTCAATAGAAGAAAATATCAACTATCATTGTAAATGAATGAGCATTTCTCTGCCACCAGCTCGCAAAAAATAAAGTTCAGAAGACTGCAACAGCATAGCGTCAAGTTATCACCTCACTGGTTCTTGATTTCGTCACTGCCAGCCTCTTCTGTTATGTTGCACTGCAGCGTAGCTGGGTTAGCCGAATCAGGTGTCTGATAAGAAGGCTCTGTACTCTTCCTACTCTGCAGGCCCGTAAAACGAGCAAGATCGACCCATTGCTGCAGTATCCAAACAAAAAACCACGCGTCAACACGGTCCATAATAATAAAACCATCCAACGGCATTATCATATTGGTGGTGGTGGTGGCTAAAAAGCAAAGGTAAGAGGGAAAACATATGAAGGATAAAAGATGCAATAGTCATGATCGCAGTAAACTGAAAGAACCCAATTTCATGACAGAAAAACAGAGATCATCTACATCTATGACACCACTCCTAGGAGTTCCAATAGAGCACAAATCGCTGGGCTTGTTGCATATAATAACAAGCTTTTGTATGTTTGTGGTTGCCCACTTTATACCCAGAGAAATAAATACGGCAAAATCTCCTAGTTACATGGTTTGCAGCAAATACGTTGATAAGATGTGCTTTTGCACTGAACTAATACTTGGGATATCTGTGGGAAAAAAGTATCACGACCCTAACCTGAGTTCCCCAATAAGAGTTGATAGTCCGTGCTATAAAGGAGAGCATATTCACAAGCAAAGTTTGGGAAGAAAATTCCTCTGATATCCGATGCTCCACAATCCCAGCAATAATCTGCATTAAATGGGTCTTTAATGTAAAAATCAAAAGAATATGAAGAGAAGCTTACATTGAACAGGACATAGTACATCACTTTTATTTCACAAATCAAAGGTGCCTGGCACTTGTTGCCATTTCAGTTGCTTCAAGCTAGATTACCTCTTAGTATTGGGAAATGCAGCAAAGCCAAACGATGACAGATCTTGAGGACATTTGAAGCATGCAAATTAAACTATCGGTTTTGGTTGTAACCTCTCAGTTTAGCATGTCAGGATCATAACACGCTCCCTGTACTTTACATCACATAAACATTGATAGCCTAATTAAATAAAATGATAGAAATCAGTGGATGCCCACTAAATTAGTTAATAAAAGTTTTATTTCCCTCCTCACATTTAAGCACTTGATATTGGATATTCAATTGACATTTAAGTTGTTTGGTATTCGTTTTTAAATCACATAACTTGCATGTGCCAAGTACACTAGTCATATTGTCTATATATGTAAAATAATAAAAATGGATATGCATTTGGATGTGTTATTCAGGTACATTATAAGACAATCTGCATACAACTAGTTGCACGGGGTGGAGTTAATGTTCAGTCAAATAAAGACGAAATTTCTAGCTGGTGAAGCCAACTTTGAAGTGCAAGTCACAGCAGTTGCATTTTCAATTATGGTTGAATGCTAAGTGGCAGCGAGATTATTACCCCACACATCAACCATTTACTAACCAACTAAGAACAAACTATGGAAACCTGAGCAAACTAAAGGTGTGAACCTTGTGAAGGTTGATAACCAATTAATGCTCCAAGAGCCGATTTTCCCTCCAAGCACAGTCCCAAAAAGAAATGAGTGAAAACACGCATCTCTTAGAGGAGTGGTTTAAACCTAGAGCAAGCTACCACTGACCTGATACCGGAGATTTGCTGAGGTTCCAAGAAAGCATCCATAGACAATTGCCGTTTTCAAAATTGGCGATCTCTTGTTCTGTTGTCCTGCAGCTAGAGCAGGATTAAGGTATCTCCGGAGCGCATACAAAATGTTTGAGGTTGCCACAGCACCAATACTTGAAATAATTCCCACCGTGCCAAGTTTCAAACCACCAAAAAGCACTGATGCAATCCGATGGCTCACATTCCAGTCCTTCCCAGCAAGGTCCTTTTGAAATGCATTATCTGGAATAGACCCCAAGATACCTCGCAAAGGATCCATACTATCTGGCATATTCATTTCATCGGCATATGAAAGAAAGGAAATAGTTGGGGCAGGAAGCCACACAGTGAAGAAATCAACAACTGATCCTCTCAAAGTGTCAGTGATAACATAGTCTAGCTCTTCAAAGAAATTCTCTTTACGTCTCTCATACTGCGCTAAGAGTGTGGTGGTAATTGATATAGCCTCCTCAATAGCTAATCTATGCAAGAATTTGGGGTCCGCCAATAGTCTCTCCCTAAAACCCTGCATCAAAGTCACTTACCATAATTATCTCATCGTGGTGATGACTGAAGATAATTGTAACTATTTACTATAGTGACATTGTACAAATAAACAACAAGACAATCATACCACAATGTAAATTTATCTACTATAGAGTAAAATCGTGACAAAATCTTACATTGTGAAACCGGAGAAGCAATTTAAGAGAACAGCCTACCTGAAAGCGGTGAGTGAGCTCCGCAATTAGAGGATATTGCTCTAAATCAAAAAAGTTCTGCAAGACCTCTGGTGATACTAGACCAAGATCCAATCCTTTCTGAAGATCCTGATGGCAATATCATATCATCACCATCAGAAAGCAAGGTCTTTCATAAAGCTGAGACACTCGTGCGCAAACACTTGAGAATATGAAATTGTCAAAAAATATCTAGTTAAAGCCAATTACTAAGTACCAGAACAATCTTGAAAATATCAGGTATAGTTAAGTACAAATCAGCTCTAGAAAAAGGATCTAAATCTAGGACTAAGCCAAAGAGAATAAGTTAATCAGTCACTATTCGGTACAGTCAATAAAAAAGTCAAGACAACGAAGTAACTGCGACTATCAATGGTGGCAAATTGGCTCAACATTTTACATGAGGGAACCATCACCTGGGTACTTTTACAGTATTAGTAGGAATTTGCAACCCTTTAGCACAATAGTGTTAAGCCATTTCATTTTTTTTTTTTGTTTTTTTTTTTGGTAACCCAGGAACCCCCCACACGGCCGACAGCCGAGGAGGTAAACCCGGGGTGACGCTAGCGCAGGACCCACCACCACGACGTCACGCTTAAGAATCCCTAACGCCAGCGCTGGGATTCGAACTCCTACCCTTCGTGGGGGGAGGGGAGCCCAAAGCCAGCGCAGCCGCTAAGGGCGGTGGTTAAGCCATTTCATTTTTAGTGAGATATTATAGAAGAATTCTATTAGAATGGCGGCATTGTCAACAACATTCTTGTCCCAAATTGCCTATCCATTTTACAAGCGTGAAATCATCAATCCTTATTTAAATAGTCCAAGAGGTCAAAAGATCCTTTTTCCCCCTTCTTTTGAAGATAAGGACAAAAACCCCATGAAGATTAAAATGATGTGCTCCTAAATAGGACAAAAAAAAAAATAGGACATCAAAATCTCGTGCTTGAAAATGATTCCAGTGCTTTGCCCGAACATTGTACTTAACCTGAAAGCATCATGCATCTAGAAGACCCAAAAACAATACACATACGCTGATCATAAAAATTCAAATGCTCATAGAACAAGCAAACCTGGGGTAAGGCATCTTGCTTCCTGCCTGCCGCATTCATTACTCGGGCAATTTCAGCACGGTCAAAACAATTTCTGCTGCAGGGTCTAGCAGCTGAATACCACAGAAAGTCTGCAACAGGGACTTCTCCTTCTCTTCGTATGTACTGTCTTTCTGGGTCCAGTAATATAACAACTTGGTTTTTCTTTTGCATCTTCCTTGAAATTCTTGCTGGCAGTCCAGTCCCCCTTGGTCCATATGTAACGTGACTTGCCCCAGTCATTACAACCAGAACTTCATTGGATCCCACGTCTCCTATTGCTTGTAAAATTATCTGGGACATGCTATATTCTTCAGCCACTCGTGCTTGTGCAGATAGATACGAACTTGGACCAAAAGGGACTCCTTGATTTGGAAAATTCATGTCGATCGATGATCTCCGTGAGATAGAAGTAAAACCTGTAATGAAGCCTGAACCAGCAGGAGGAGCATATATTTTACGCTCAGCCTTAGAAAGTCCGCGAATGCCTTCAGCTTGAACAGTCCTCAAGATCTATTCAAGGAAAAATCAATAAAGAAGCCTTCTATGAGTATCCAGAACCGTCAAAGTAGGCCAGCACATGATAAAACTCTCATTTGAAGGATGGCAGCACCTAGTATGGTTTATAGATGACAGAGGCGGATGACAAATTAAAGAAATAGTTCTCTCTCCCAATCATTTTATCAAACCGTAAAGCTGAATCCAATGAAAACAGCAAGTTGCTGCAAGCGAAGACTTCCAAAGAACACATTCACACTAAGCTACTTCAGATTTGCATAGAATTCCTAAGATTTGATTAGCAATTGTTTATGGTGGCAAAATGGAAGCATAACATAGCCTCACCTCCAGCATCTCACTGTGTGGAAATGCAAGCAAATATGTTCAAGAATCAATCGCCAGCATGAGATTTAATCTTGGAACTGAGCGCATGCAGAAAATTGTTACTTGGCTATATGCCATGGCCAATATAGCTAGCAAGATATGGTACTACCTTTAGTGGAGTACCACAAGCAACGATGCGAATTCCATTGTCCCGGCAATAACTCAATAGAGGCTCATACTCCTGCCATCGCTGGGGCGGCCAATGCTTCATCAAAGACTTCAACTTTTCCCCATCAGTCCTATCATATGGTTATACCGTCTTCATGATCAGTAAACAAAAGATCACCTCTTGCTAAGTTTTCATGGTAAAGAATAAAACCAAAGAATCTTGAAGTATTCATCCATTGGCTCATCATATTTGAAACAAAAGTATCGACCTTTTCAAAGATTAAACCAGAAAATCACTACAACTGTCAGCTTCAGTTCTGCTAAATAGACAATAATGACAATACCATT